CTTTGACCCACTCAGGAGCACTCTGCACATTGATTCTAGGGTTTGGGAGGGGTTATTCTTAATGGGATCTTTGATTGATTATTGTGTTACTTTAGTGTTATCTTTTTTGGCTGTTTCCATACCTGGAATGATATCCATGTTCTGTTCTTGTTTGTTTGCCTGTTTTATTATTCTTTGCAATATATTCAGTTCTTTATTCTTTATTTTATACTTCAAAATTTATTTTGAGGCAGCTTAATTTTCTGACAACCTTTTAGGGAGGCTATTGGTTTTATTTCTGTTTGCTTCTTCAGTTTTCTTCACTTACCCAAAATGTAGGCTGGCTTAAAGTGCTTAAGCGTATCTTTAAACCATGCAAATTCCATCAGTTCCTCTAGAGAGCAGCAAATATGTTCAAATAAAATATTAACATGATTCAACATAATGTTTGGTGAAACACTATTAATTGAACTAGCTAAGCACTGATAAAGAGCAAAGAGCAGTGAGGAATGGAGGTCCTGCACCCAAGTTTGGCCTTTTCAAGCACTACCTGAGAACTGTCTTAGCACTTACTGTGGATGCAGTCCCCTGCCCTAAATGTCCTGCTTGACCTAACCTCTACTCTCCAACATAGTTTGGCACAGGGGAGGAGGAAAGCAATGGGGGTGCAGCCTGGGCTGGGCACCAGATCTGTGGGCTATAAACTTTCCTGTCCTTACTCACACAGGACTGTGAGCCAAGAGGAAGCACTCCGTTTCCAAAAACACCCACAAGCTGTCTGTTCCTCATGGTCAGTAGGTGTCTGACAGATGGGACTCTGTCTCCTGTGTGCACAGGGTTTAAGGGAACTTGGCACCTCACAGTGAGTCACAGATACTTGTTTTTTATGAAAAATAGTCAAAGTAATGAAAAGTCTTCCCAGCTGTAGACCTCTTCAGACTAATACCACCATGTGTTTGGCCCTAAATAATACATAAATCTTTAAAAGAAGGACAAAGCCCCCTTTGTTCTTTAAGATCAGTCTCCAAAGCAAGATTGACAGCTGCCTGCCTAAGCACTTGGACAGCTGACACAGATGTAACAGCAAAGTGAATTCAGTCTAATGGGAAATCCATGAAAGAGTGTTTTCAAAATCCTCTCATGCTTGCAGGACTGTTTTTGGTAGGATTTTGCGATAGTAATTCTTGTTGGCCTGTGCTGGAGTTTGTACAGATGTCTAAAGCAGCTTTTGCAAAGGTTTTTCTCACAGATATAAGCCTGGCCAATTGAGCCAACTTAAGTCATCCCAGATCTCCACGAGGTCTGTAACCACAGCAGAGCAATTCCCCCTTCCTGTTCTCTGTGGACCTAAGTAAGTTTTGTCAACACACCCACCCTTCCTGATGGCATTTGTTTCCAGTTACTGGGTACTGAGGTATAAAATCAGAGCCTCTTTTCCCAAATTAACAGCCTGAGCTGCATTAAATGCAAAATACTAAGAGGCAGCACTGGATAGACAGAAAACAGTCAGTGTAAGCTAATGCCAAGGCCACAGCAATGGAAGGTGCTGAAATCCCTTCTGGGAAATAGATTTAGCATGGACTGAGGCACGACTGGACAAAGTTGGAGGGGCTGGAAGAGCAGGATAGGATATATATGCATCTTATCTTGCTTGCCTCAAGGACACTCGCCTCATCTGAGCATATTCACATAATACAGGGAAAGGAGGGGTCAATTCAGGCCACAAGGGGAAAAGCAGCAAAAGGGAATGCTCTCTATGTAGGTAAAAAACATGTTTATCATCATTTTTTCCCTGCTTCTTGGGTAATCGACCTCTTAAATACCAGGAAGCTTCTTCAGTAACTACATGGCACTGGCTGGCTTCTGCTGGTGCGTTGTATGCACACAGAGTCAGATACAATCAGTGCAGCAACACAGGCAGGCTGGTAAACAAGTTTTGCTTCATTTCTGGAAGTGCAGTTTGCAAAAGAACCTGGAAATGCTGGAAGCTGTAGTGCAGGCTAGGCAGGGAAGGCTGTAGCTTGCTGCTCTTTGAGTTGTGAGCTGGCAACCCTATGCAGGATGCAGCTGGGAGTACTGAGAAAACACAGCCTTCTGCTTCATGGAACCCACCTGGTACCGAGGCAGAGGCAAGAAGCTTGCCCAGTGCTGTCCACAGGTGTTAGAACTGAAGTAAGCAGCCTAAGAGCTTCGCTGAAAACAGACCTTTGTCTTGAGTTCATAGGCACTGTGGGTCATGCCAGACAAAAGGTTTTCAAGAGGTAAAATATATCGAGCCAAATTGTTTCTGGGACTGATCCTTTTAGAAATATTTTAGGAATCTCATCTAGGAATAAATCTACTATAGCAAACATTTTTTTTGGGGGGGTGAGGTGGAGGGAGAAATATTGTCCTGAGAAGGAATGAAATCCCAACCACCAAGTTTAAATCAAGTTGGTAACATTTTATGAATTTCTGGTGAAGTACAAAAGCCAAATAAATACGAACCATGACACTGTTGTTTTAAAGCTTGTTTCGTGGTTGTTCTTGTGACTAAAGGTCATAAAATATATCTCTCAGACACAGGTAATTTGTCTAGATTTTTTGATAAATTATTTCTTATTTATTCACACGTTTGCGTGCTTTCTGTTGCAATAGACCATGAAAATTGAGACAGACTTCTGACCTGAAGGAGCTGTGTGTATCACATAATTCAGTTCCAGGCTATGAAGATAACAGTTGTTACCACCTCTATTTTCAATACAAAAAAACCAAAACCAAAAACCAAAAAACAAACAAACAAACAAACAGAAACACCAACAAAACAAACATTAAAAGCTTTGTTTAGATCGTTTCTTAATTTAGTGTTGTCTTTTGAATGTCAAGTAGTTTTACTCTTCACAGGAGCATAAAATTTGCTGCAGTTCAACTTCTGTTGTTTTCTCCAGTCAGAAGAAAGATTGGAATTTTTCCTAGATTGTGCATGGAGGCATATATGAAAGTCTCTGGTGAAGCTGTGTGAACAGCTATCTATTAGTGCACCACATTCCGTAAATTGTGTTAGATATATTCCATGTTTATGTTTCTATAGGAAGAGGTTTGCTGAAGCAGGAGAAAAGCGTGGATTTTTTTAGCTAATGTACTGCCCATCTGCCTGCCTCTGAATATTTTTTTTAACCTTTTAAGGACAGAGACTCAGGAACAAGCAGATGCCAGAAACGAGGAGTGATCACAGTGTTATGGTCTTCCAATGCAGGAAGGTTGCACATCTCATCTGTGAGGACAAGGAAGGCATTGCTTAGCAAGTCTGAGTTGGCTCTAGAAACGTTTTGTCCTGTTGTTTGTTTTCATATTGCACACTAGGGCTAAGAAAAGGAGGAAAACCAGAGGAGAATGCAAAAAGTTTTCTGTACATTATGATTATTTCTTTGCCAAAAGCAGCAATTTCAGAGAGAAAATCCCCCAAATACACCCTGGTGAGCGGTGCTTAAAGTCTCATAGGCAAGATAAAAGTTATGCATATAGGAAAGCTAGAAGTGGAGGATTTCTGAGTGCTGGCCTCCACCCTCTTCTTTGAGGGCACCTTATATGAACTAAAGAAAAGCTCAGAATCTGCCATCATTTTCACTCAGTAAACTGTCTATCAAAGCTAACCCAGTACTCCAAGTGCTAGCTGCAGAACCTGAATCGGAGACATCTCTCTGTCTTTTGACATTTCTATGTTGTGAATGGTGCAGGGTTAGAAAGCAGGCGTTGGATTCTATGATTCTGTGGGTTAGCACTGTATGTGAACTCTTGTCATTAAGTCACTGCTAAGAATGTGGAGATCTGGAGGTCTGGAATATCCTGCTTGTCCAATCCTAATGGAAGAAATCACAGAATGATGAAGGTTGGAAAGGACTGCTAAGATCATCTAGTCTAGCTGTTGATCCACTCCCACGCTGCCCACAGAACTGTGTCCCCCAGTTCCATATCTCCACATTTCTTGAACACCTCCATGGACGGTGACCCCACCAGCTCCCTGGGCAGTCTGTGCCAATGCCTCACAATTTCTGAGAAGAAATCTTTCCTAGTATCCAACCTGAATCTCCCCTGCCACAATGTAAGGCCATCACCTCTTGTCTTATTAAAAGAAAAGAGAAGTGGGAGAAGGAAAGGACAAAGCTAGCAGACAAAGCTATGTGATTGCACTCTGGCTACTTGCATGCTAGATAATACAAATTGTAAAGATACCATTCATTCTTTTTGATCAGATTTCTGCCTTGCCAAACTCATTTTCCAGAATTAAGACAAACAGAGAGTTCATGCTATGACTTTGAACAGAAACCATCAAATTTGCAGAATATTTTAGCAACTCAATTACAGTGTAGGAGCACTGTAAAATGACTTCTCTATCAGCTGAACACAGGCTATTAAGAGCAGTACAAAAGACAGAAGTTAAAGAACAGTCTTTCAACTACTCAACTTTCCTAATTTTGGAGATGCATTTTTTTATCATCTTAAAATATTACAAGCAGTAATAATTTATCTGTTCTTCATTGTAATAATGACATTAAAATAAAATTATGTGCAATTAATATCCTCTTTAATGATCCCTGCTAGAAAGATAATCACTGCAATAACGATGTATCACAAAAGGGCAGATAATTTTAATAACTTGAAAGAATACACTAAGGATCTCTCTGCAGTGTTAACTTCAGATTTAATACTTATCATAGTCTGAACTGAGAGATTCACGGAGAGCAACCGCTGATAAAGGGAAATTATGCATTCCCCAGACACCTGCCTGCAGTGTACTTCACAAGAGAATAGAGTCATAGCTTTCTACTGTGCTGCTGAGAGTAAACCAAAGTGATCCAACATAGAGAGTGAAGAAAGAAAGTGATTATAGCTGATTGACTCTTGGGATTTGGCTTTTATTTTGGTATTAAGAAACATATTTCAAACTAAAACAAAGCAAAAAAAAAAAAAAAAAGTTCAGATACTGTTTTTTAAAACCTATCTTATTTAATATTGAGAAATAGAGTTGGTGCCTTGCTGTTGTTTCTTAATCATGCTGACACTGCCCAAACTCCCAGAGATACTTGGTTTACTGCATACAGAACACAAAAAGTACAGGTCTCCAACATCCTGCTAGAGTATCAGAGTGACAGAGCATCCTGAGGGCAGTGGTAGGTGAGTGGTATGGTCAGGCAGAAACGCCTCTTCTGGAGTAGCTGGGTTAAGAAGAGATATAAAGACACACAGCAAACTTAACAAGCAGGTTTTGCAATATTCTTCTGAGTACAAAGTAATGTCTGAACACTACAGCTTTGCTTACGTAGAATAAAATCTTGTTACTTCCTTGCTCTACATCTATTACTCCTTTATTCTCTTTCAATGATATCAGCGTATCATCATAGTGTCTTAACAACCAGTGATACTGAAAACAAGGAGAATATAAGGATAGGAGTGATCCTCTGTGTTCCTTCTTTCAAAGAGATCTGTAGTGCTTCCTTATTCCCATTGCAGATGCAATGTCTTCTAATTTGCTTGAGCTGGGGAAGCTCAGAACAGTACAAACGTCTCTGCTCATCTTCCCTTGGTCTTCCCTCGCTGGTAAATCCATCCAGCTTTGTAAAACCACGCCTTTATAATTTAATAAACAAAATTTGCAAAGAATTATTAGAAGACTTAGAGACATTCCCTAAGGAGTGAGTGGTTGATGCCAGAAGTCTCTATTCCCTCTTGTACCATATGACATCATACATCCTGCAGTGTTAATGCACAGGTGTTTATGTTAGCAGTTGATGGGTGCACCAGGCCCTGCAGCAGCCAGGTCTGCAGCTGAACGGCACAAACCCAGGCCACAGTTTCAAGACCAGAAATGACAAACAGAATAAGGGAGATTTTCACTCATTTCACTTTCTATTCCAGACGCAAAGAGGATCTTCTCTGAAATGAGGCTCTAAAACATGTCTAGCTAAGGACACAAATAAGCAAACTGTGTCCAGCCACAGTACATTTATTATTTATCCCATCCTATTTATATCTCACACCAAGGGATGTATGCAACAGCCTGAATCCACATTTGTTCCTTCCATTCCTCCTCACAGCTGAGAAGAGACAGTGAATCACAAAAGGTCTCATTGTTGCTGTCTTTAGTTCTGGTGTGGGTAATCAGCACAGACCCCATTACAGAGGCTTTGGAGGATGAGGAATTTAAATATTTAATGTTTTTCTGCCTATGATAAATTTAATAATTAATGCCACTTCTGTCCTGGAAATGACAAAACATACAGCAAGCACGCATGATAAAAGAAATAAACACGGCTAATGAAGGGGAAAACATTGCTTAGAAAGTAGCAATTAAGCACACTTCAGGGTTGGCAAGGTACTTTACAAAAGTAAATTCTGCCTTCAAAGAGTAATTCTGTCCATCCAGTAAGGTTCCCAGTTCCTGAAGGGATGGAGAAGGCGAGGGATCATTAAGTGCTGATCTTTACCTTGTATGTGTGAGGAATGATACACAGAGTTGTGAACCAGACTGTCCCAAAGGCACGTGCACTCACAGGAGAGAACAGGACAAAAGTGAAAGCTGTTTTCCCTTGTTGCTGTGGTGAGGAACCAGCCTGTAAGTCATTAGATACATGTTATATGGCAAAGTGAGGGCCAAATTGGCTCTCAGCTTCTTTTCTCTTTGCATAAGTCTAAGAGGAGTGGGAACTGCTCCAGTTCCAGGCTACTGACACCCACCTGTGTCACCCTACAGAGCAGCTTGTGTAAAGGCTCTTCTGTTGGTGCATTCCCCAGGCACGTGCTGCTCTGCACCCACCCCCACTGCAGGTGTACGCAGCTTACAGCCCACACTCACTTACCAGCTATGAGGAAATTCAGCTCACACACTGCCATGCTTCACTGCTGGACCACGCTTATGTAAATGCAAGAGGATTCATATCGAAGGAAAGCACAAAGCATGAGAGCAATAAGTTATTCTGTGATTCACCCCATTTAGGCACGTTTTCCAATGATTAGAGTCTGTCAGTCACAGAGGGTGAGTACTTGCATAGAGGTTGCTGCTATATTCTTCTCTGGGATTAGAAATCATTTTCCCTAAGCTCAGGTCTGGAATAATCATATAATGGTAGAAATGGGTACATCCAGAAGGTGACTCACGTTAACCTAAGGGATGCCTGGGACAGATCAGATGAATCATTTTCCCTGCTGAAACAGGGAGCCTAGCGTGACTATTTCAGATTAGGATGTAACACTTTTTAGACATGTCATTAGTAGATCTACAATCATACATAGTAAGTAATGCCAGGGCATGGGCATCAGCCCCACAGTGTCAAGCTGATGCTGCTCACTTCCTGGGCAGCTCTGCAGCTCAGCAACCAACCATGCAGCCACCTCATTTTGGAGTTCATGGAGCTGAGTAACACAGACATAGACAGGCTGTGCCAGCTGATCTCAGGGCCAGAGAAAGTACTGCTGTGGTGCTGCTAACGAGTGCAGGTGTGGTCTTCAATACAGAAAAATCTCTAAGATCCAGGCTTTCTTTGCATATTAACTCTTTGCTACAACACAATCATTTTTATTTGTTACCTACTCTTGCTTTCTCCTTTCTAAGAGTGGGCTTAGGGAGTTTATTGTGAGGAGATCAATTAACCTTCTGAGAGTGGACAACATACAACTGTGCTTAGGAGTCACACCTTTCCTAAGTTCAATCTGTTACAGTAGGTGAGAGCAAACAACTGTACAAATGAACTCTTAGAACAACAGGTCAGTCACGGTCCACAGCTTTTTAGAGTCACAGCTAGAAAGGTGTAAATATGTTATATTTTCATAAAAACAGTTCAGTTAATGCAATATCCTTTAAATTCTCATTTGAGCTTTTCCTTCCTCCTCCGTGGAGGTTTGTTTCTCCTTCTTCGGTTAGTCACTTACAGCAAAGCAGCAAGTCTCTGCCCCTGTGACTTTCTGACACCCCTCATGAGCACAGCAATCTGTCCTGCTGGCCCAAAGCGTAGGGTTCTCTCAGGGCTCTACACCCATTCAGACTTTTTTGATCTCAAGCAACTAGTACTGCTATAATTTGATTGCACATCAGGATTTTTTAGCTCAGCTGAAGGGCAGTATCCTAAAAGCTTGCTCTGAACTACAGAGGAAGAACCTCCAAGGTGAGACTTGATCTGAGGTCTCAAAGTCAGGGCAGTATCTTTAATGAAGTTTTGCTGGAGCCCAGGTCTCACTTGCTGGCATGCAGTTCCTTGCTGGTCACCAGCACACAGGTGTTCTTCAATGCTATCTTGCTTAACAGCAACATCTCCTGACACACAGGGCTTATGGCTGTTGGTGTTAAGGTTAGTGCTGGCAACTTGCTGAGAGGCCTCTTCAGGATGAAGGGCAACTTCCTCTTCCTCTTCACAGAGAAGTGAGCAGGAGCCGTCGCTGATCTGGCTGCCATTCATTGCTTGGCAGTCTTGATTCTGGGGAGAGGAAGAACTACCAGACTGTGCTGGGGGGATATTTAAAAGGCCCTCATTCTCTCTGTGGGGGTTGGCCAGCTGCTTGTTCCTCTGGCTTCTTGCTGTCATTTGCCGGAGAGCACAGACAAGGTCAGCAAGGCTGAGTAGAAAGGACAGACTGGTGACACTCCAGATGAAAACCATCATGATGGATTTCTCAGTGGGCCGGGAGATGTAGCAATCAACTGTGCTTGTACAAGGTGAATGGTAGCAGGAAAAGCGCTCGGGAACAAAAAATCCAAAGAGGAAATACTGTGCAGCTGCAAAAGCAGCCTCAATCAGTGTCCTAAAAAAAATATGAACAGCATATGCCCCAGAAAAATTGAGGACACCTAGGTTGTCCACATTGCAATCCAATCTATTGACAAGATCACTCCTACAGAGTTCCTTCAGGTCTTTGGGGTTTAATAAACCCTTATTCCCTCTGCATCCATACACCAAACAGTGCTTTCTTACAATGTACGTTGCTACCTTGTGCAAAACATAAACGCTGAATGCAGTGTAAGGTAACAAGATAGACACAGTCTGTATGAACCAGAACCTGAAGTGAGATATGGGAGAGAACAAGTCATAGCAAACATTGGAGCATCCAGGCTGCAGGGTGTTGCAGACGAAGCGCTCCTGTTCATCTTGATAGAGCGGATAGCCTGCTAACACCACCACTGCCATTCGCAGCAGAACTACCAGCATTAGCCAGATCTTTCCTAGAAGAGAACAAAAGAAAAAGAGTAGGGCACTAGAAGGAGAGAAGGTAGGTGATGCTCTGTGCACACAGTGCATTTGAAAGGATACCTCTGAAGTTAGTTTCCTCTTTGAAAAGCACCTCCTTGGCTTTGTTTTGGCTGGGACTGAAATTTGTGTGAATGTGTTAGCCAGCATATTCCATAGCTTTCGTCTAGACTTGACAGTGTAGGAGTCTGACATACAGTAAGCCATGCAAACTGAAAATGCAGCCTAACAATAACACTCTGAACATGCCCAAATCTGGTAAAAAGAATTGTGTGAGTATTCCCATTTTGCTTGGTTTCATACTTCTGCATCTGGATTTTGTACTGTATTGATGTTGATCAGCTAATATGGCATGAAACTCCTGTAGATCCCAAAAATTGTTCAATGATGTAGCATTTGTTCTTTACCTTAGCGATGAAGTCATATGTAAAGCTTACTGCAGTGTCTAGACTGGTAGTTACTCATGAGCTAGCTAACAGGTGCTACCAGGACACTTATTCAAAATGTACCACAAATGTGCATTTGTGTGTTCACACATGAACCTGTCATTTCTCTGTATTACTTCTCTGGTTGCCTTGTCTTGAGCACACCTCCCCATCATCCTGTACCTTGGCATGCTGTCTCTCTCTCCATTCAGACCAAAAGCTCCCTTCTGTCTTAGCATTAAGTAAAGACTTACAGGTTTGGCAGTTCCATACATTTTTCTTTGTCTTTCACTGAATTGTTTCAAAGGCTGTTTTAAGGAGGGAGAGATCAAAACTTAACCTTATTCCATCACGCCAACAATACTGAAAAATCAGGAACTGTAACCCTGTATGTCATATCTTTAGAATGAGACATTGTTGTTCATGAGAGTTTCTTGGAGGACTTTTAGACGGGGTAGGTTTTTCATAAAGGTTTTTTGGTAAAGTTACACAAATTGCTGTATTGACGGCAAAGCTATTTTTAAAACAGAAGTCCTTTTCCTGAGCTGGGTTGGAAAGTCTGAAAACAATCTGTTATACAGTCAAAACACAAAAATACACAGAGAAATTCAACATTTGAAGTAAAGTTTAGCACTTGAATTTCTCAAGGTTCCTTTTGAGTACTGTCACTGCTTCTGTATGCGGTTTTGAAAAATTCTTTTAATTTAACAATCCTCTGCTTTAGTTTCATGTATTTTTAAAACACGTCAAAAAGTAAAAAAGAAAGAAAAGAAAAAAGAAAAAAAAAATTAGGAACAACAAAAACCACACACACACACAAACACACAAAACAAACAGAAAAGTGCAATGAGTTGAATTCTGTACTTTAAGGAATAGCTAAGAAACTGATTGTTCAAATCAAAAGGAATAACTGAGAAACAGATGCACAAATGGCGACTCGGCGACTATGTAGAAGCATGCTATGTGCTGTTAATGGTTGAGAAATGCACTGAATAGCTTAAGTCATGGATAGTGATTGTACATCTCACATACACAAAATCTGTGAAACAGCACCAGTACATATTCTGAAAGTCTTTTTAAAAGATCAGATCCCAAAACTCTTTTTTCTATAAAATACACAGTTTTTTACAAGTATTGTCTTTAACAACAATTGTCTTTGCCACTTCCCATGGAACAATTTCTTTGTAGTTGGTAAGAATCTTAATTGTCCACTTTTTTCTGTAGTATTATTTAGTATCTATTAACACATGGAACATACAATTTGAATGCCCCATGTAAACCCTCAGTGGCTAAAGGACAGATTATCGGACTGAGTCAGTAAAATTGCACTCACAGAAGCCTGCTGCTTCAGGCAAAATAATGTACTACCTAAACAAATGGAGGCCTTCCCATTTAATCTTTAATCACCTGAACCTTAGCAGTGGTTTTGCTGTATTTTCAGCTCCTTGTATTTTGTTGTGCAGGCTGTGCTGTTGCCCAGTTTTTGACAGTGTTGGCCAATAAAAACCACCAGCTGTAAAGAATCATCACCTTTAGAAAGCGATGCCTCATAGTGAGGTTGCATTTTTTTCCCAGTGAGGACCTCAGAGTGTTTGAAGCACATTTGTTAATTAAGCTCAAGATACTACATGCTATTTCCCTATCCATTTTTAATTAGAACATGTACAATGGGGAGTGCTGCTTAAAAAAAAAAATATCAGTGGCTCCTTAGGAAGCAGTTCAGTATGACGTTCATTTTAGAGAGAACCCTCCATGCATCACCTTCCCCAGTGGCTCAGTCCTCATTGCCCCTGCAACACCCAGCACAAGCTGCAGCCCCTGCCCGTGGTGGGAGTGAAGGGGCTTCAAAAGGCCCTGGAGAGGTTTTATCTGACTCACACTTCGCTCCAAGCAGCCCATGAAAGAGGAAGGGTGTCTTAAATAAGAAGAAAAGAATCACTCAGCCCCCTGTTTGCTGCTGAAAAACAAACTGCACTTGTTTGTTTTCTGTTTATTTTTAATGCATTTGAACTTTACTCATTTATAAAAATGAAGAAGAATAAGCATAGTATGGCAATTAACCACTGGCAAATGTCTTCCTGTAAAGGAGAAGCTTTTTCCCTTCTTAATGAAGAATTATTTCTGAGTGTTTTCACAACAATCCGTACAACATTCCCCACAGCTGGTGTGAAGCTTGAGCATCAAATTTGAAAACTATGTCAGAATTCTTTCTTAAAGCTCAGAAAATGTTCATCAGAGAGGAAGTAGGAGTCAATTTAACGAAAAAATAAATACATTGACCACTTTTACATCACATATGTAAATAATAATTTCTTCTTTAAAGGTTACAAAAGGATAACTAGAAATCAAAGTGGATGACCAATGTCAATGCTCAGTTGTCCAATCTAGTGGACATTTATTAGTTTCAGGCTAGCAGCAGCAAAAGAAAGAGCAGAGTGGTTTTAAAGTACTCACCTATAATTGTCACATTATAGTTGAGAGTGACAACCAAAAATCCCAGTGAGTCCCAGTGCTCCATGTTGAATCAGATTCACAGCACTGCTGGCTACTGATGGCTCAGCTGGTTTGGCATTTCCCAAGTAGGTCAGACTTAGGGAATAAAGAAAGAAGAAATATTTGATAAGCATCAAAGATGAAAACAGGAAATGAAACCCCAACAGTGTTACTTGTGCTGGATTACTTTGATGATTTGAACAAGGCTGATAGTTCTGGATACCGCAACAAATCTTCCCAGGGGTTTAAATTGCCTTGGAAAATCTTTGGCTGTTCAGATCCTACTGCACTTACCTCTTTCGTGGATCCTCTGTCCAGACAACTGCAAGCAGATGAACAACAACAGGAGGGATCTTTCCCATTGTAGACTATTCTTAACCTCCTGGGGCATACCAGCCTCCTGGCATTGCTGAGATGTTTCAGTGGTGAAAGGCAGGGACTGGAGAAAGGGAAAAAAAACATGGACCAGGAATTAACTGAGGCCTATTTCCCCGGAGAAGTACAGATGGACAAAGGGACAGAAAGGGGCTGCAAAAGAACGAGCATCCCCGTATTTGAAAGACACTTCCTGTTTAGCAGCTGCTCAATGGAACCTGTTCCATTGCAATTCCTCAAAGCAACTTTATTTCTAAAATGCAGCCTCCCTGACAGTACATCATGGCCTTGTCAATCACTGCCGTGCCAAAAATTCTCCTGCGAGCTGAGGCTCCCAGCAGGGGTGACAAGAGATGGGAGAAGCCTTTACTAAACACAGGGCGGGGGCTGGCTTGTATCAGTTCTTTCTCCCACAGGCTCTTGGTTACTGGGGCATCACTCAGCAATGGCAGGGCTGGTGGCTCACAGAATGAATGCCTGGCAATGGCTGAAGTCACGCAGGATACCCCACAGGTGCTTCCAGAAAACTGCAGGTGGAAGAACACACAAGCCCCTTCTTCCTCACTACCACACCCCACTGTCCTGAGAACATAACCTACTACTGCTTTCCACCCATTGCTCAGAACCCTATGGGATGTTTTGTGTCACTCTGTCCTTTCTAATCTGTGTTGTAATAGAGATAAACATATAATGGACACTTTTTCCCAGGAAATCTCATCAGTAAGTACTAAAACAGCAGGAAAAAAAAAAAAAAAAAAAAAAAAAAAAGACTTTGTGTGATGCAACAAGGGAGAAAAGTAATATTACAACAAGGGAGAAAAGTAATATAATGACAACCAGGGAGCTCAGGGCACTCTGCTTCTGAGCCCTGCAAGTATCCTTCAGCCCATGAAGGGTGGCTGATCCTCCTTTGTGAGGTGCTTATGGCCAGCCTTAAAAGGTAAATTATTTAATAAAGCAGAATGTAACTGCGCAATGACATCTCCCCAGCTCTACCATCCCAGTAAGTGTAATCTCACAGCAGAGCACACTGAGCATCCTTTCTGTAGTGAGCCTCATACTTTGCAGACCCTAACAGTGGAGTTTAAAAGGATGGCACTTAAAAACATGGTGTAACTCTTTATTCATTGACTGAGTAAAGAGACTTTCAACTATAGCAGTAAACACAGGAAATATCTTACTTTCGGAACTGTTCTATGTCAAATATTTGCTGAAAAAACACTCCTGTTACTGAATTTTATTTACGGTGTGCGATGCTAGTTTTAGCTTCATTTTTCCCTCCAACACCTCTTTTTTTGGGATGTGTGTAAGTGTGAAAGGTAGGGAAAGGAAGGAAAACTGGTGGAAGAGAATAGAGAAGGGAAAAGGTACAAATGGCTGAAAGGAAAAATGTGCTGTGATATGAAGGTATTCTTGTCAAACATCCTTTGTCAAAATCAGTAATCAAAAATAGTCAGGAATGTCAAGATGGCGGCAGGGTATGAATGCTCAGCAGCTGCATTCACACAATAGGCTATAAATTGTCCCTGTCAACATTGCTGGTTAAAATACCCTTGGTTGTCACTGCTGTGAGAGACCTCTGCCATGTGTGCAAGAGGATAACCGTTGGGGATTTACTGCTGCCTTCAGGACTGTATCAGCAGCATATCTGGTCCCACAGCAGGATGTGCTGAGGCAGGGTGGGCCATTTTCTGGAATATTAAAAAAAAAAAAAAAAAAGAAAAGAAACCAACATCACCCTCCACACTCACCACGCAGCCTAACTTAGGGCTGGATTTACGTCAGAAAGCCTAAATTCTATTTTAGCTTTTCCAGACAACTTTAGCTTTTCTATTTTAGTTTTTCCAGACTCACATCTGACTTCAGTCCAACAGTTCTCCTTTTTGTGGCATGTTCTTTTTCCCATCCTTTTCCACAGTATCTTTTGTAGTTGATAACCTTGCATGCGGTTTCACAAAAGGGATCAGGATTTTTGTGGTAGTCTCCAGGTGACCAAAGTTAAGCTTTAGGGTTTTTAAGTGGTTTTTGTGTCAGTTGCAGACTGTGCTGGCCACTGGTTTTGCTCTGGGGGTTAGAGGAAGTTTCTAGGCAGGGGTGGGGAGCAGAAGAAGGAGGGGTGGTCAAAGAAAGCAGGGAACATAACCACAGCCTTAGTAAAGGTATGGCCCTCAGACACACTGATGTGACAGAAACTACCTCTGAAGCACCTGTGTGCCTGCAGCCATTGCCACTGAGGACTCAGGGCTGAAAAAGCACCAGGATGCCATGTGCACCCACCCTACATTTCCCCCCGCTACGGCTGGAGAATCTGAGCAAGGCCACTTGTTCTTCCTTGGGAGAATGGCTCTATGGCTCACATAAGCTGTAGGCCCATCTGGGCCTGGTTGGGGTGCATCAGCCAGGGCCAGCAGCAGCAACAGCTGCCCCAACACAGCCTGACATCTCAAAAATAATCATGTTTTCTACACAGCTGTGGCAGTCCTTCTGCCAGCAGAGGGACCTTGGCAGCACCACAGATGGGCTGGTGCCATCTTGCACCCATGAATGGGTACATCCTCCCCTCCATCCAGAAATGCTCCTGTACTACCATCCCACAGACAGCTATTCCTAGGCTGAAATAAAGTTCAGCTCTAGTTAATGGTAGTTAAATAGGAGAGACACACAGAAAAGCCAGACGTGGCTTTGGGTAAAGCTAAGTTTCAAAATCTAGAGGTATCTTATCGTGGCTGATTTTAGAAGCAGTCTTTAAAAGCCACAGGAAAGCTTTCACAGGCCAACAATGAAACCTAAGAAGATGCAATTAAATCTATTTAAAAATCCACAACTGGTGTCTACATTTCTAAACCCTTATCACAGATGAAGGGGGGCTTGATTCTGCAAACATTTGCAGATGTGACTCCATCACTGTGAGTGACTTATTGGAACATTCTGAGCTACTGAAGCTGCATTCCTGTCTCCAGTCCCCTGGGTTATTTGGCACAAAAGCCCAGCAAAGCCACTTTGCTTGGTCATTGGCTCACATATTAAGAGGTAATGCAAAGTTAGCCTTGAACCACTTCAGAACTTCCCATCCCAGGAGCAAATCAGTCACCTGAAGGCTACCAGTCTCCACCATACACCCAAGCTGACAAAACTAGCAGCAATTCCAGTATTCCTAAGTCCCAGCTGCCATTGTCTCACCCAGTCAACATCTACACTAATAACATGCAGGTGTAATGCAGTGAGAGTTACTACAGGAGACCGCACCCTGCAGAGCACCTGCCAACAGCATCACAGACTCCTTATGACAATTTAATTAACGTTAAGGCAAAAATGGGTCAGTTACCACTTCCCTAATATGGAAAGGGAGCTGTCACTTCTGAGTAGGATGCATACCTAATATTTTAAAGTCTAATTTTAAAATCTGTCAATTTTTTTTCTAATTAGGAAATATGATCTACTAGTGGCCAATCTTGTAGTAAATCTCTTCAGAGAGTGAGTTGTAAAGTGAAGGAAAAAATAATCCATTCAAAAAGGGCGCTAAATGACATTTAAATAAAATAAAATAAAAAAAAAAGTGACCTTATTTTTTAAGTTACAGAAATACAGCAGAAAGGTGAGAAAGTCACGAAGGACAACAGCAGAAAAGCAGCAGGAATAAATGTTTCCTCTGCACCTCTGTGTGCCACCTGGAGATCACCTATCAGCAGTCCTCAATAAAACGGGTGTCAAAGCTGTGCAAACAGTGAGCAAACAAGAACACTGCAACTCAGGAATTAGCACCATGGAGCCTATGTGCACTGAGGCACTGGAGAGGATAATGTTTTCCATCATAAACGAGGCAGTCCTACTCCCACTGCTGGCCTCAAACCCAATGATCCCACTGGGCATTGTTCAGGTGTTTGTCCATCTTCCTCTGCTGTTCTCTTTCCACTCCCAGGAAGTATGCACACATACTTGGACATATATAAATACAGAGCACATGTGGCTGAAACAGTCCAGCACATCCAGGACAGAGGAATTCAGCTCTTTTTTTAGCTGCTCTTATGGATTGGACTTGAATGTAATTTCCACACCTCGGTCAGCTCGGATACTCACACCTGCTGCCTGCAGCATCTTGTATGCCTCTTCTTCCTCAGCTCAGTCAGTGAATGTTAGACTGTATACTGTCAAGGATTCAGATTACTCTCTTACTTTGCCTCAAGCAGATCCCCTTATAAATATTTGAAAGTTCAGAAAGGTCATCTTCCTTAAAGAAGTCTTGTTCTATGATGTTAACAAACAGAAAAATTGTTTCTCCTTCACGTTTTCATTCAGAAAAGTCAACATCATTCAACCAAGAACTTAACTTTAAACACTTCAAGACTAATATGAAGGGAAATTTAGTAATGGGAAGTACATTTCCACTCAGAATCTCAGGGCCAATTTCTTCAAAAGTATTTAATTTTACTAAGTAATAAAAGCACAAAGTGAGTCCATGGGATTTTCAAATGCACATTATTAATATCTGCTTAACTCCTGCTAATAAAGGTAGTTACACTAGTAAATGACGTTATTACTAACATTTGCTCTGCTGCAACACACAAAAATCTAGTATACAAAAGATTCCAGCTTTTTTTTATTTTATTTTCAACATGATACTTGACATCAAATTTTACACTTATATTTTTGTATAGAGAAAATATAAATTTGAAGGTTTGGAAAGTCCTATGATCTCTCTGATTTTTTATTCAGGCTA